CTCCCGTGCGCCTGCTGCCAGGACCAGCCCCACTCTGCCCTTGGAGGGGGGGCAGGCAGCCCCCCAGTACAGGACCTGACCGGGTTTAGCCCACAGTGAACTGAACTAACACACTGGAGCTAGGGGCTGGCGCCTGATCCTGCCCGGGCTGCAGCTGCACCAGTGCTAAAGACAACCGCAGGAAGGACTCTAGATATTTATTACATCTACTTTTCCATAATGGCTGTGGTGGTGCTTCATGTTGCGTACAAAGGACATTCCCAGCTCCCCCTGGCCCCTCTGGAGCCAGCCCTGGCTTAAAGCCATGCCTGACCCTCCTCCCCACCCCCCCAGCAGCAAGGCCACGCCAGGGGAGCCTTGGGTCACCCCACAGACACACAAACAGCGGCAGCTATATACACGTATATGTATTATTCCCAAGAACAGTATATACAGAGTTACAGAGCAAGGGGACAGAACCTGGAGAATAAATAACAGCAAGTGGGGGACTGTAGTGATAACAAGGTGCAAATTAGTCACGATCAGGGACAGACACATGAATACGGAGCTTTGTTAACAAAAGTGCAAACAGGCCCCCTGCACCGTGCCCAGGGCTGTGCTGTACCACCAAAGCACTGGGCTTGCCATCCTCTGCTGGAGCAAAGGGCGAAGAACAGCAGCAGGCAGCGCTGGACGGTGCAGAGCAGATCCTGAGGGTAGGACAAGCTGCACCCCTTCCCGAGGGCAGGGAAGGCGGCCTTGTCCCACTGCGGCTCAATTCCTTGCTAGTAACGCATGCTCAGGCATTCCCTGCTGCAGGCTCTGCCCCTCCACAGCTTGGGGATGGAGCAGAGGGAGCAGCTGGGTACAAGTTGTACAGCCATCAGGGCTCCAGGAAGGTGCCCGGTCAGGCTTGCCTCCCGTGAAGCGCCCCGCTGCTCCCTCCCAGGGACCTCCAGCCTTGCAGCCGGTGTGGGAGAGACGAGACCCTCAGCGCTGCGCCCAGCCTGCAGCAGGGGGTGAGCCCAGCGCTCCGGGGTCAAGCAAAGCCTGCTAAGGGAACCTCAGCTAAAGCAAGCCCTCACTAAAAGAAACAAGCCTGCTGTGGTGTTAAGAAAGGAAGATGCTGACGGACAATAGCTACAGCAATGGAGGGAAAAGAGCCTGTGACAAAAGGCACCGAAGCTGGCGCTCTCAGATAGGTTCTGTCTGTCCCAGAGCATGCTCAGCAAGGCAGAGCCCCTGTGACTGAGCACCAACGCTCACCCCAGCCAGCCAGGCTGTGGCAGGAGCTAGCACCCACTGCTGCACTACCCTAACATGACCGTGTACTCAAATCTTTAATCGAAAATATTTACAAGAATTCCCCAAATAAAAGCAAGTTTCTAAAAGTGCCCCTTTCATACCCTACCCTGGCAGGCAGGGAAACCCCCCCCCACCCCACAGAGAGCCAGGCCTGTTGGAGTAACGCCTGGGACCCAGGTAAAAGTTAACCCTACAGCACGGATGCTTTGGGTGCAGGGGGGAGCTGCATAACACCCTGCTGTGGAGCAGCGACTCACTACAACTACGAGCAGCTGGAGCCTGGCAGGCAGCACCTCAGCAGAAGGCAGTGGTGGTGGTGGAGTTCAGGACACGGGAGCTACTGTCAGACCTGGAAGCCTTTGAAAGTTCGCGCTGTGGAAACAAGAAGCGGGAGATGGATATGAGGGGGCAGCTGCACAGATGGCAGCAGGGACAGAGCTGTTGCTTCGTGGCTTTGTGGGAAAGCAGGAACAGCTCCAGGCCCGCAAGAAGGGCAGGCCAAGCTGCTCCTGCTTGCTTGTTTGGGCTCCCCACCCCCTCTTGCTTCAGAAAAGGGCAGGAAAGCCTTAGCATCAAGTAGCTGAGAAAACTCGGAGCCAGTCAGCCTCCCAGAAGCAGGGGTACCTGTTGCCCAAATAGCCCCAGGCTGGGAACTGCCTCCCTCCCTCCTGCAGCTGGCAGCAGGCAGGCTGTCCCTCCTGGGAAGCGCTCT